CAGAGTTTTTGCTGTCCACCTCACTTACTGAGTAACTACTATGGACAAAGCATTGTGAGCATACAAAGATAAATAGAATGTAGTTATTTCAACATTCTAATGGAAGGAAAATCATGCAAACAACTTTCTGAGCTATTTCTCTCAACCTCAACTGCTTCCTTCCAAATCCAGACTTCTAATAGAGTCCTTGTTTCTGTTCTTGTCCTATACAGCCCATTTTTATCCTGAAGCCAGAGTAATCTTTTAAAATGTAAATTTGTTTATGTACAGCAGGTCCTCGAATATCATTCCTTTAATGTGGTTTCCTTGTAATATTGATGAGATGTCATAGGAACTTAACTCTTGTTTACATCAGTTAGCCTATGATAAAATTGATGAAAAATCCAGTTGTTTTTAATGTTTCTAGGAGCTTGAAATCGTCATTGGAGATGAGCACATTTCTTTCACAACCTCAAAAATTGGTTCCCTTATTGATGTCAATCAATCCAAGTAAGTACATGATCCTTATATCCAGATGTGTGTCTTTTGCAGCAGATTTGCTATGAGACCCTTAACCAAACTGAGACCATTATGGTAAGGTCTGGTACAAATGCAAGACAGAAGGGGTCAGCTTTGTCCCCTTCATTGGAGAGAGACTCTAAATTATTTTCAAGGGCTTACTCCTATTGCTTTTGGTGTTTTATTCAGTTATTGCTAATAAGAATTTCTCAGTGACACACACACACACAGTAATGCCATAGGAGCAGCCAAAGGTGGTAAGAATCTGGCCAGAACAGAAAAATGAAATATGCCAAAATAAGTGCATGAGATAAACTGTAGAGCCACTAAGTCTGAACATCTTCCTCAGTGTTAGTCATTCAGACTAGCACTGGAAATTGTTTAAAATATAAATTTAAAAATTTGTGCTAAGATGGTGAACAACAGTTCGACCTGGAGCCTGGGCTGCTGTGAGTTGCCAGCGACAGTGTAGGTTATAGTGGAGCTGCAGTAGACTGCTGTAAAAAGCTACCATGAGTGGCTGGCAGCCGTAGTGAGCTGCCAAGAGCCGCCATGAGTGGCCGTCCAATGGCCCAGCAACCGATCTGCCTCACCCAGGAAGAGTGCAATGATAATACCAACATGGGCCAGTGAAGTGATGTCCTCCACAACTAGACTGAAGAACAAAAGGACAGCAACTTTTCCCCTCCCCTAGTTCCCCAATTTAAAAAAAAAAATTCATGCTGTCAGTAGGGCAAATTATAAGGCAGAGAGACATGAATCCGTATGCACCGAGTCCTCAGAATTTGGCAACCTCTTTGACTCTTGTGTTTTGAGGATTTGGGATTAGGTATGGTTCACTTTTAGTACATGCGGGCATAATTGTCTTCCTTTGGACAATCTCTTTATGCCATAGTAATCTTCAGCCTCTTAGTCCTTAGTACTACTACTTAAAAAAAGTTTTCCTAATTCTGAATGTAATGCATGCTTATTATAGAAAATACAGGAAACAGCAAAGTAGAAAGGGGAAAATCACTCATAGGCCAATCAATTAGACAACTCTTAGTATCTTTTTTTCTGTGCACTAAAAGGTAGTTTTTTAAAGGCGCAAAAAATATTGAGATCAACAATCTGTTAATTATTTTTTCACTTAATATAAGCATTTCCCCATTTATAAAAACCTTAACATTTTAAATGACTCCATGATATTCCATTTTAATATATAGCACATAGCTTTTTCCTTCTTTTTGGACTCTTTTTTTCAAAGTTTTAATTCTGTAAATACCTTTATGAGTAATATCTTGGTACATAATCCGAGTTATTAAATGGTATTGTCTTGCCAGTTTTTCTCAGCGTTTTAAACATTGTTTTTCTCTTGCATTTTAGGGATCCAGAAGGCTTACGAGTATTTTATTATCTTGTCCAGGATCTGAAGTGTTTGGTCTTCAGTCTAATTGGATTACACTTCAAGATTAAGCCAATCTAGATTAAATATTAATGTGGACACAAGGGGGGAGGGGTGGGAGTAGCTGTTTTTAATGACCATTATCAGGAAATTTTTGTGTATATCAGGGCAATATTTTTTTTATAAACTATACATGATTGTCTTTAATAAATACATAACAAAGTGTAATTTTATTGTTTTATAAAGATCTGAACATGTGAACTCTTCTCACTTTTTAAAACACTAACTAATCCTATGTGAAGTACCTGAATCAGCTCTGTAGATATACGTTAAATACCAATTTACAGGAAATAAGAAAATAGAGAACCATGTTTAAAAAATACAGTGGGAATCCAATCAGCAACATCCAGAGGAAACTACAGGGCAAGTGATCTGGTTTCTTCAATAAGTTACAAACATAAAATAGAAATGGAGCAGAAATCTATAAAGATTTAAGAGATACATAATCAGTACAGTGTTTGGATCCTGTTTGGATTATGATTGAAAAAAATTTAAATTAACATCATGGAAGTTTGAATACTGGATGTGTGATATTAATGAAGTACTATTTTTTAGATGTAAAACAGTATTGTGGTTGAGTTTTTCCTCCAGCTTGAGATGTGATCAAGGTCGGGTTTTTAAAAATCATCTTTTATAGATACATCTAGCTATTTCAGTATGGGAGAAAATACTTTAATATATTTAGGGATATAATAGACTAGGGATAAAATGCCTAGTCTCAAAAGTTTTCCAGTACATTTTAAAATCCGAATACCAACAGCCATTAAGAACTACACCTACGTGGTACAGTGTGGGAATTTGTTAAGCCAGTACACCTGTAGAAAACTTTTTCTTGCTGCTAAATTGCATGGCTTCCTTAGGTAAATTTTGCTGGCTGAAGATTGTGGGCACTGAAAGGAACTGGGCCTTTATAAGTCTCATTTGAGAGGAAGTGATTAGGCTAAAGTTCACATCCCTGAAGACAGGCCAACTTGGGACTCCTAGGTCAGTACACACATACACCAAATCTCCTTCAAAGACACCAGGGAGGCAGGTTAGGCGCAGATCTGGGACTTGGGATGTCAGGGTTCCTGACTCCAGTGCACCCCTTTGTACAGAAGGGTCTGAAAGTTGGTGGTAAAGTAGGTATCAAAAACAGTCACTCCTTGGGGCCCGCCAAGTGGTGTGTTGGTTAAGAGCTGGCTTGGGACGCCAGTTCTGAGCAGCAGAGCCCTGGTTTGGATCCCATATGAGGACCAGTGACGACGCTGCGCCCTCCACAGCTAAGATGGTGAACAACAGCTCGACCTGGAGCTGGGCTGCTGTGAGTCACCTGTGTGGAGTAGGCTGCAGCCTCTTGTTACAGTGGGCTGCCATAAACTACCGTGTGTGGCTGGCGGCCAGCAGCCAGTGTGAGCAGCCGTCCAGAGGCCAACGACCCGATCTGCCTCACCCAGGAAGAGCGCAATGATAATACCAACATGGGCCAGTGAAGCAATGTCCTCCACTAGACTGAAGAACAAAAGGACAGCAACTTGTCTGTTCCCCTCCCCCAACTCCCCAATAAAAATCTTAGGGGGAAAAAAAAAAGTCACTCCAAACTTTAAATAGCGGATAGTGAGCTCAGAAGGCTATAAAAGGCACGAAAGGGCAGGTACAACAAGGTTCCCTAAATGTATAAGGATAAACCAGATGGCAGCCCAGAGAAGAGCCTGCTGAAGAGGAGTGTCCAGTCTCATGCACAATGAGAAGGGCAAGTGGACTGGGGTCTCGAGGGGGAAAGAGGAAGGTGCAGTTTAGAAAAGAAAAAGGCCCCATCCTGCAAATCTGCGAAGCTGACTGGGCAGGGAGAACCGACGTTACCTAAGAGACCTCGAGGACAGGCAGGGACCAAGTGCGAGGTTGGGTAAGGAAAAGGCAGAGTAGTGAAGAGCCAAGAAAGAGAACTGAAGGGCAGGAAAAACTTTGCCGTGGTATTCCTCAGACTAGCTTAGTGCCGGCACGAAATCGGCGTTCAGTAAATATATGGAATTACCGATGGCTGATAACAGGATAAGGGTCGGAGCACCGACTAATTCCCGACTCAGTTTCTCTCTACCGTTTTGTTCCCCTAAAGCAAAAAATAACTCCGGCGTGCGCCGGAAAAGCGCCGTGCGGAAACCCGCCCCCGCACTCCGCACCGAGGCCCCCACCGAGGGTGCGCAGGCAGCGCCTGTCGTTTACGACGGGCCGGAAAGAGCGACCGCAGCCTGCGCCGTGTTGAGCCCAGCCACTATGGGGGTGAGGCAGAGGCTAACCGCCGGCGGGATAGGAGTGGGGCGGTGGCGAGGACCTAGGAGGAGGGAGCTTGCACCAGGAAAGAATGAAGGGAGTGGGTTCGCGCCAAGGAGGAGCGGAAAAGCGGCGCTTGTGCCGAGAGGGGCGGGACTGAGGGGGGACTGGGGGTTGGAGGGAAAAGGGAGG